AAATTATTGTCAGTGACAGAATTAATTGTGAGGTGAGATGATATAATTTTTCAGAACTGTTGCCATACCTACATGACAGTAGGTATGTATGAATGTTTGATTGTCCGGCAGTGGATAATTTATGGTTTTGAAAGTTAGGGCGCGTAATTCTTTAAGAATAAGAGATCTTGTTGCAGTAGGTATATAATGTTCGTAGTTTAAATATTATGCTAAATTAGCAAAATATGTATGTATGTTTTGAGTTAAGGATTATGGTTCAGCAGTGGATATAATGGCTTTGATGATTAGGGGCGTGTTATGGTATTATGCTTATGAGAATAATAGGTGCGAATTTATTATGAAGTGAGATGATTCTTGATTGGAGTTTTAAACCTCACATAAGTATAACTATTGTTTTACCCTAAGTTACGGTCGTCATAAAATTAGAAAGCCGATACGCCGGTCACAATACAATCAAGCATGTCAAAACTTGTTCGTACTTGTAGAACATTGGCAAACGCTTTTTTTGCATTCATCCCTTAGTTGCTCGTTCTGGGTATTTTGTTTATGACCGGCGACTTGTGGTGCGAAGCGCTGACACGTGTTTTCAAGTAACCTATTCCAGTAGAAAAGAATCATCCAGAATCCCATTTTGTTTTTATAAACCGGCAATAAATTCAGAAAACGTCCAAAACTTTGCTATTAGTTAAACAAGTGGGCATTATTTATTATCAGTTATTGCTAAGGCGACCACTTCGTTTCTCACAGCTCTTGGTTGAGAGGCGTTTATTTTTTCCCTTGACATATTTAAAATTAATTATTCTCTTGAGGACCATGGAATTTGGGTTCATATGCTTATTTAAGACTTGTAAGAGCAGTCGACCTAACACACTTGAGCATATAATAAAAGTTATTTATGTCATGGTGTTAAGTTGCATCCTGCAAATGAATAAGTTTATTTTTTTTGTGCACAATCTAAACTTTTAGGTGCCAATTTATTGCTTGACGTATGGCATGCCATGTTTCGGCGTTAAACGATAAATTTTCAAGCACACGGTTCCAATAACATGGACATTTGAGATAGTATTCAAAAAATATTTTGTTTTGTGAACTTGGAGGAGCCTGCATAACTTTGACTGGTCAAAAATTAAAGCGGATAGTTAAAAGCGAGAAAAAAGGGACAAAGGAGCGAGTGCGTCATAGTAACAATGCTTTTGTTTATTGAGCAAACCGAAAAAAAAGGGGACTTTCGAAGAATGAAAGTGAAACCTTTAGTCAGAGTCTTTATTCTGAATAACTTCAAGTGAGTAAGTAAGTAGGTTATCTAGTAATATTAATAGGAGACGAGGTTGTATTATGATTGAGGAATTCTAACGAAATGGAAATATTAGGGGCGTGAAGACAGGACAAGTAACGTGATAGTTTGGGCTACGCAATATTAACAAAATTGCACTAAGAGTTCCTAGTATTCGATTCTTCGCATTTTTCCACATTCTACAAATGTTTAAAATGGCTCTGACTCGTAGGGCGCACTGTAACGAATATTAATTCGCACAGTTTTATAAAGTGGATTATTATATTTTCTACGCGGACTGATAGAAGTCATCGTCTTAAGAATACGTACCCGCTTCAAGAATCGGCACCATTTACCAGTAAATAACACGTGCGTAGACGCACCCACCCGGGACAGGAATGCAATCGCATCTGGCTGGACCTTTTGCTAGGAATAAAGACTAAAACAGCCTACCTGCATGATTGCAATAATTTTTGTTTTGGGTTTGATGTCGCTAAGGGAAGCGAGGACAGTCAATCCTCGACCCTGGTGAAACAACAACGCGCGGGGTTGTTTATGGGCTCAGAAAATTTCAAATACGGGGCGAACCGCGCGTACTTAATTACTTCGTCCCAGTTAAAATCAGTGAACTAACAACTATTTTCTTTTGCAGGGTCCTCCACGAGCTACGGTTATTTCTTCGTTGGTGGGTTTTAATGTGTTTTAACAGCTGTCCAGCGAGGCCTCGGACGGAGCTTCAGCGGTAGATTTGTGTTAGGCTCCTTAGAGTTTTTCCTGCCGTGTGATTGACATTTTATTGTTTCAACAGGAACGCGAGGAAGCCGCCGGAAGTGTTTGATTATGGGTAGAAAAATTAGGGACTCCAGATTATCGTAACCTAGGTTTTTAGGGAATTGAAACAGAGTTAATGTATGTGTTTGAATGTGACGGGTGAATCATTTGACCTTCTGTTATTTTTTTATCATCCGTTCAATATAAAACGTATTTTTGTACACTTTAACATTTGGTGCTGACACGTTAAAAGGGGCACTGAATATTAAAGTTGACGGTTATCTTTCTGAATTATTTTTAGACAACAATTTCTCGAATAGGAGTTAGAGACTGACCAATTGATGTATCACCATTTTTGGCATATGCACAGACATCTGGCGGGCTATGTTTTGCCAGGTATGGCATTCGCGACCCGATATGTTTTGGATAATCCGAATGTCTTGCTCATAATTAATTAATTAATTAATTTGGGCCCTGTCGAGAGAATGTAGTGCCGATCAGATACATATGTAAATGGTTATGCAACTTTGCAAAGTCTAGAATTGCACAATGGACTGCAGTCCGTAGGTAATTGTTATGAGAGGACGCCTGGAAGGATGAATGGAAGGTTAGCGATGAGAGTGGAGTGTTTTGAGGTGATCTGAGTACGCGAGATGGTTTGAAATTTAGCTAGATTAGGTGGGTTGATAGGAGAACCTCTATGGGATATGGTGATTGGATGAGCTTTAAGGTGTGTTGGGTGGCTCATATAATTCCTGATTGTTTATTCCCTTCTAGACCTAGAAGTCTCAATCAAAACCTAACCTTCCCTGGGAAGTCGTGTCATACCCTTTTCACAGCGCGCGTAACTTACCGCCGTTCGAGTCGATCATCGCACAACCGTGATATTATTGTTTTTCTTTTACCCTTAATAAAACAGGTGAAGCAGCCCTTCACGAAGAAAGACAGCTAGGCCGTGTAAGACTAAGAGCTCATCGAGTCAACGCTGCCAGCACAGAACTAAACCCGCGGTGGCTTCAGATCAGCGGGCGGCCGACTTCTGGAGTTTATTACAGCTAAGTGGCCCTATGTTATTTTATGTTTCATTTTATAACACATGTATTTCCTTTCGGGTTTATTAATGTTCCTTCTTTATGTAAACGCGCATACTTAAAATTTCACAACGTAGGGACAAAATTAATCTCACTAGACGAGTTAGATATCGAAGGCCAAGTTTTGATTAAATCCTTTAAAGATTTTAATAGGTAGGTCAGAATATAGCTACACTGGGATTCGGGCAGAATCTTTTCTGATACTTAAGTCCTTCAAGCGGTTTAATAGGACTCTTGCAAAGGCCTTTCCGGGGACCGATAATAACGAAATACCGCGGTATGAGTTGCAGGTCTAACGGTCACCTTTGTTATTGTAGAGGGCACTAATGCGAGACACTTTAAAATCATCCGGGACCTCCCACATTAGAACAAAAAGTTTTCAAATCAACGAGTGCAACTCCGCACCACCATATTTAAGTATTTCACCTGGTATAAGTAAGGTCAATGCTAACCGCCCGTTTATTATGCTGCTGTCTGATGGCAGTAACAACCTCATCACACTACAGGAGCTCGTCCAGCTCGGTGGCTAGGGGGAATTAAGTACATTGAACTCAACATATTATGTAGATGGCGTTATCTGAGGATATGTCTCAAAGTACATTGATCTCAACATAGATGGCGTAATCTGAGGATGTGAAAAAAAAAACAACCAGCTTTAAGAAAAAAATAAATTTTGACGTAATACATAACATACAAAATACTAATTTTCATTTACACATACTTATTATCACTAACTTTAAACGTTGAAAAGACATTTTTGAAAACTTCCTCGCGAGGAAACTTTCAAGTAACTTTCGGGTAAATTACCTGAAAATTACCTCGAAACTTTCAATGTTTCGGAAACTTTCAGAAATTTTCATCTCTAGTAGTTACATACTAAATATATCAAAATTAGTTTAGTTTCAGTCGCATCGGTATCACATTGCATTACACACATATCAGAGCAGCCAGGCGAGCTCGTCATGCATATTTAACGGGAGTCGCACTACTGCAGTAATGCAAACCCACTGACGACGAGCGATTGTGGAATTACATACATTAATACAACTATTTTAGTTGCCGTTCAAAACAACAATATAAGTAGGTATTTTATTTAAGACCGGATTTAAATTCTACTTACTTTGTCATATTATTAATTTTTTCGGAAATCCGCAATAATTTCCGATCATTTTACAAACTTCCTATATTATGATGCATTCATACTGCAACTGATTATAAAGTAATTGAGTGTGGTTTAAACATTGAGATACCGTATTATCATATCTGCTTCATCTTCTTCTTCGAGTGGGCCACCAAGTCGTCCAATGACCCGATATACGCTAGCCATTGGCCTCTCCTATTAGAGAAAATTACTGGTGTCTTATTAAACAACATGTGAGTCTTTTTAGATTTTGAGAAATTGTATTGGGTCGTGCGATGTGTTTCTGCCAAACCCCACCCGTTCACTTCATTTCTGAGCATAACAAACCCATTGGGATTGTAATGCACTCACTGTGCTATACCTATTATTCTCACAAGTGAAAATAAGAAATAGATAAAATGACATGCATCGACCGGGGATCGAACCCGGACTGCATGGGTAAACGCCCCACCGCTCTGCCACTGAGCTATCGATGCACGGCCGATGAACGCCAAATTATCTATCTTGATGCTCGTCTTCAAGCGACGATCCAGCGACATCTGTAGAAAGTATTTAGAACTTACTACATGGTTAGTCACATTATGAGTGGAATTCGAACCATGTGATGAAGCTTGCTTAATCTATTATGGGATCGATGCACTAAGTGATACCTATTATTCTCACAAGTGAAAATAAGTTCGATCCCCGGTCGATGCATGTCATTTTATCTATTTCTTATTTTCACTTGTGAGAATAATAGGTATAGCACTGTGAGTGCATTACAATCCCAATAGATTGATTAAGCAAGCTTCATCACATGGTTCGAATTCCACTCACAATGTGGACTAACCATGTAGTAAGTTCTAAATACTTCTCAGATGACGCTGGATCGTCGCTTGGAGACGAGCATCAAGAGATAGATAATTTGGCGTTCATCGGCCGTGCATCGATAGCTCAGTGGCAGAGCGGTGGGGCGTTTACCCATGCGGCCCGGGTTCGATCCCCGGTCGATGCATGTCATTTTATCTATTTCTTATTTTCACTTGTGAGAATAATAGGTATAGCACTGTGAGTGCATTACAATCCCAATAGATTGATTAAGCAAGCTTCATCACATGGTTCGAATTCCACTCATAATGTGGACTAACCATGTAGTAAGTTCTAAATACTTTCTACAGATGTCGCTGGATCGTCGCTTGGAGACGAGCATCAAGAGATAGATAATGTGGCGTTCATCGGCCGTGCATCGATAGCTCAGTGGCAGAGCGGTGGGGCGTTTACCCATGCGGCCCGGGTTCGATCCCCGGTCGATGCATGTCATTTTATCTATTTCTTATTTTCACTTGTGAGAATAACAAACCCACTCTACAATTCTAAACTAAACCTATAGTTACATACTAAATATATCAAAATTAGTTTAGTTTCCGTCGCATCGGTATCACATTACATTACACACATGTCAGAGCAGCCAGGCGAGCTCGTCATGCATATTTAACGGGAGTCGCACTACTGCAGTAATGCAAACCCACTGACGACGAGCGATTGTGGAATTACGAAATTAATACAGCTATTTTAGTTTGCTCCCGTTCAAAACAATAATATAAGTACGTATTTTAGTTAGGACCGGATTCAAATTCTATTTACCTTGTCATATTACGAGTATGTATTTTATTTGGAAATCCGCAATAATTTTCGAACATTTCCTATATTATGATGCATTCACACTGTAATTGATAATGATAATATAAGTGATTGAGTGTGGTTTAAACATTGACATACCGTGTTATCATATATTTGCTTCTTCTTCTTTTGAGTAACCAAGTCGTCCAACGACCCGATATCCGCTAGACATTGGCTTCTCCTATTAGAGAAAATTACTATGTTTTATTAAACAACAGGTGAGTCTTTTTAGATTTTGAGAAATTGTATTGGCTATGTTGTGCGGTGTGTTTCTGCCAAATATCCTTTCTACTTTATATCTCAGCATACCAAACCCACTCTACAATTCTAAACTAAACACGTAGATTATATGTCAAAATTAGGTTAGTTTCCGTCGCATCGGTATCACATTACGTTACACACATATCAGAGCAGCCAGGCGAGCTCGTCATGCATATTTAACGGGAGTCGCACTACTGCAGTAATGCAAACCCACTGACGACGAACGATTGTGGAATTACATACATTACTACAGCTATTTTAGTTAGTTCCCGTTCAAAACAATAATATAAGTATTTTAGTTAGGACGGATTCAAATTCCTCTTACGAAAAGTTCATTCGCGGAAGTCCAGAGGATAGAATAAAGTAGGTAGGTACCTACCAACGTCAAAGATTTGCCGCGCGAGTCGTAATATTATTTATTCTAACCGGAAAACCGCAAAAAAAAAAACTGAATATTTACAAACTTCTTGTAGGTACTATGTTGCATTTGCACACCACCTGACATGATGCCAAGTAAGCTTGCAAGTAAGTAATTGAGTGTGGTTTAAATTAAATCGATTGGGCTACTATATTATCAAATCTGCTACACATGGCATTTCCTATTGTGGTTTACAGCTGTTGTTCTATTAAAAAACTGTTTAGACCTTGATAAATTATATTGGCTATGCCGTGCGGTGTGTTTCTGCCAAACCATCCGTTCATTTCATTTCTGAGCATAACAAACCCACTCTACAATTCTAAACTAAACATGTAGTTACGTACTAAATACATCAAAATTAGGTTAGTTTCCGTCGCATCGGTATCACATTACGTAACACACATATCAGAGCAGCCAGGCGAGCTCGTCATGCATATTTAACGGAGTCGCACTACTGCAGTAATGCAAACCCACTGACGACGAGCGATTGTGGAATTACATACATTACTACAGCTATTTTAGTTAGTTTCCGTTTAAAACAATAATATAAGTAGGTAGGTATTTTATTTAGGACCGAATTCAAATTTTACTTACCTTGTCATATTATTCATTTTTAATTGGAAATCAAATAAATAAACATTGAGATACTAGCTTGTTTTTTATCAGGAAAAGGTACTTTTTTGCGTAGAGCAAAGCCCTATAAGTACGGGTATTCTATACATCTACGCCCGGTAGCCGGATTCAGCACCGTGCAGGAGGGGGTTAAAGTAGTCCTCCCGGCGCTCAGAAAAAATATCTTGGACCTTTGAGACAAGTTTGGTGTCATTTTTAGGTAACTAGATGATGCCCGATTCATTTCCCATACCAGTTTTTAGGTTCCGTAGCAAAATAAGTCGCATTACTTAAAATAATAAATTTTTAGTAGTTACAAAATGTAAACAAACCAGCATATTTTCATATTTTTGAATGCAACTTGCTTTATAAAAATACTGTCTGAAAGCCTATTTAATGCTGATTATTTGAACAACATTATTTATATTTTCAATTATTTTCTGCGTTAAAAAATAATCCTACATACCTGATTCCGCCGCTGCTCGTTCGTTGGGAAATAGTATAAGATTTTGAAGTAAATCAACACTATTTGATAAGGTTAAAACAGGTCACTTAGGATCGACTGTTAGGAAGCTTCAAATCTGCGACAGGTAGTAGAGGGTTTAAAGTACCGAGGCCTCGGCGCTCAGAAATAAAAATGGTGTTTTAACCTTTGAGACAAGTTTGGTATCGTTTTCAGGTTACTAGATGACGTCAATTAATTCCATACTTACCAGATTTGTAGGGTTCAGTAAAAATATGACGCAATACAAAATATTATACTTTAGTAATATATAAAGCAAAGAAACCCTCATACTTTCATACGTTTGTATCAATATTAGATAAAATTTATTAAATACACTGTCTGACAGCACACATAATGTAGATTCTAAAAAATTACAGGAGATATAAATTTGACAATCATTGTAGAATGAAACATTGAAAGTTACATCAACTTTACTGTCGGCAGTGCAGCGTGGGAGACAACAAAACCTGAAAAACAAGCACTATTAACAAAAAAGACCAAAGACATGTCGTTTTCCGTTAGCCCATCCCATTAAGGCCCTATTCGAACCTGAGCGAAAGCGCGGTGCGTGGCGCGTATCTACTGAATACGCGGTATTTCGATTAGTATAAATTGTCAGGCGATTGAGTTCCGAAACCGCTGTAGGTTTTAACATAGTTATACTACAACTGGTAGGGCCCAGTTATGCTAACAGTCACTAATTTTCGCCATCATAATACCTATTAGTGTAATTTTTTATAATTTTTAATTAATAAACGAAAAAAACATAACACTTAAATTATTGTTGAAAACGGGATTATTACCGTGATTAGGTTTTTGTTTACCTCGATATTTCGGAGCGGTTGCACGCTCCATGGTCACGAGTAGACTGCCTCGGCGAGTGATGTCATCTTTCTAAGGGCAAACATATCTGTCTACCCTCTTTCGGATTCGTCGACTGCGTTCTAGTATAACTATGTTAAAACCTACAGCGGTTTCGGAACTCAATCGCCTGACAATTTGTACTAATCGAAATACCGCGTATTCAGTAGATAATCGCCACGCACCGCGCCGGTTTCGCTCAGGTTCGAATAGGGCCTTAATGGGATGGGCTAAGAAAACGAACGGAGCGCTCGTTCATGGCGTCTTTTTTTGTTAATAGTGCTTGTTTTTCAGGTTTTTGTTTACTCCGCACGCTGCACTGCCGACAGTTGCTGTAACTTTCAATGTTTCATTCTACAATGATTGTCAAATTTATATCTCCTGTAATTTTTTAGAATCTAAATTATGTGTGCTGTCAGACAGTGTATTTAATAAATTTTATCTAATATTGATACAAACGTATGAAAGTATGAGGGTTTCTTTGCTTTGTATATTACTAAAGTATAATATTTTAGTATAGCGTCATATTTTTTACTGAACCCTACAAATCTGGTAAGTATGGGGAATTAATTGACGTCATCTAGTAACCTGAAAACGATACCAAACTTGTCTCAAAGGTTAAAACGCTACCAGCACATTTTTATTTCTGAGCGCCGAGGCCTCGGTACTTTGAAACCCTCCTACTCCTACCTGTCGCAGATTTGAAGCTTCCTAACAGTCGATTTCGACTCAAGTGGACCTGTTTTAACCATTCATACTAAATAGTGTTGATTTACTTCAAAATCTTATACTATTTCCCAACAGAAAACCGAGCGAAACCTGCGTAGGAATCAGTTAGGTACGTGTAGGATTATTTTTTTTAACGCAGAAAATAATTGAAAATATAAATAATGTTAATGTTCAAATAATCTGCATTAAATAGGCTTTCAGACAGTATTTTTTATAAAGCAAGTTGCATTCAAAAATATGAAAATATGCTGGTTTGTTTACATTTTGTAACTACTAAAAATTTATTATTTTAAGTATTGCGACTCATTTTGCTACGGAACCCTATAAAACTGGTATGGGAATGAATCGGGCATCATCTAGTTACCTGAAAATGACACCAAACTTGTCTCAAAGGTCCAAAATAATCCAACAGATTTTTTTTTCTGAGCGCG